ACGTTGCTTTTGAAGATCTTCTTGCAGCTGTATGCCAATTATAAGTATAACAAATGTGTAGTTTATCACTCCGCAAAGGGTGCCTAAGCGCTTGACTTTCGTCGGAAATCTTAGGGAATTAGATCTACTGCTGCTACCGGTGGTAGCGCTTGCTCCCTTCAAACAACCAGTGACGGTAATCAAACAAAATCATATGATTCTGGAACAGATTCCACTAATTCTACAGACCGTAGAGGCAAAATAACTGCCCTCACAGCAACGAAGATGGTTAGCAGTTGGATTTTATAGATCCAGTAGAATCAACACCCTAATCACGCAGGCGTTGCAGGTTCCCTTCCACGGCAGATCGAGTGCTTCTCGTGTATGTCATTGTCGTATCAAACCAGCTGGAAATATCTTCAGGCTACCTACATCTATCCAAAGGTTAATTTTTTTTCTGTTTTACAGATTTACAGTCTCCTTCACTGATGCTGCGGCGTGTCTGGGTGTGGGTTTGGTGCGGCGTCAGCCCGTATTCCACTAGTTGTTGTCGCTTGCCCTACGCAACAGCTGGTGGGAAGCGCGCCGGCGCCGTGTCAAGTCCAGCCGCCCTGACACCTCGACACGCCCCCGCATCCGCAGCGAACAGAAAACGTTCTCGAAGCTTTTTCATCAATAGGGTGTCTTCACTGAGGATCTCACAGGACTTGTTTCCCTAAGAGTTAATGTTCGGTGCCTTAAAATCTTCTCTTTTTAGGTGTTCACGGATCGATGTAGGGACCCAGGTAGTGAACGTGGAATGCCGACGGTGCCTTGTTCTACCGTTTGTATATCATTGCTGGAACCCGACATAGAAGCGGGTCAGTTTATTACACGAACTAAATTTAGGCGCAGTTGGGGTTAAAGGGGGCATTTTGCTGTTTCTATCGACCACTGGTGACGCTTTCTTGTTTTGGGCGACTGTAAATTCTGGCAAAGTGTCAGTGACAGGGACCGGAAGAGCTTCGTTCAAATTGGAAAGGGTTTACAGGCCAATTTACCAGTGTGGGACTTGTAGTTAATAGAAACTCACCACAAGCAACAGGGCGAGTGGCTGAATGCCCTCCTCTCCGAAAGCGAACAGCGGTCCATTGAGAAGAACAGCTTCATTCGTTCTTATTTGTATTGCCGGCAAGAGCTCAAGAAGTTCTTGCTGGACACTGCTTTCCCAGGGAAAGAGTAAGCAGCGCAGTTAGATCCATACTGTATTTCCCATCAGTAATCTTTCAGGTGTTTTCATTGGCTACAAGCACATTCGTGGTTGTATGGATCGAGTGTTGCGACACGGTTTTAATCAAACAGCGTTGCGAACGCACCGATTAATACGCATGTAAAGTCTTTTGCATTGTTCCACCGTGATTACCTTGAAATTTCTGCAAAGAATAAAATTACATCTTTTTATCGGACTTTTCCCGAAGAAGTTGTTTGGAATTTCTGATGAATTGTTGGGTCCGAGACTTCTAAAGAGCAACTTATCGCGATTCACTATTTGCGGGCATTGCTCTTGTCATGCACCAGGTATTTCCATAGTTAGCTTCTCAGTAGAAAAAGAAGCAGAAAAATCTTCGGGAACACCTTGAACCAAACCTACCTTTAGCAGTGGGGGCGGGGCCTGGACGAGTTTGTGCCTGGCGTGTGCCAGATTCGAATTGCGTTTGCAGCCGCAAATTTGCGTTCCACTTCGAAATAGATACTTCTCGAACGTTAATGGCAGCGTTCATACTTGTAGCGCTACAGCGTCGCGCTACAGCGCCGTTCGCAACGTACTGCAATTTCCAACGATGGGATGATTAGAGTTGCTTACAGAGAGACTGGAAGGTTGCTGAGTTTCTTGAGAAATTGACAAGAAAAAAAAAGAAAAGAAAGAAAATGACAACAAACCCCACTTGACAACAAATCTCCCTACCATTGGAAAAGCAAGCACTACATTCCATAAGCAAAAAAAAACTCTAATGGTTCCGCACTTTCACACATGTTTACAAGCCTGACCGAAGTAAGACCTTTAGCTGAGCTATGAGCCAACTTTGGCAAAATGCCAGTGGGACCGCGGGCTTAAAGGGACGCGCGGGCTTTAAAGGGACGGATGCAGTTTACGGGCCAGACGCCTTTCATTCTCACCTACCGTCTCCGTGAGCTAGACCGGCCTAGTGATCGAAATATGCGATTAACTTTCCCTCAATTCGCGCGCCAATTAGATGGATTAAAATGCGGGGACATCTTCATTTCTCAAGACTAGAGGCGTTTCCAGAGACGCAAAGTCCACTTGCAAGGACTCTCGAGCCGACGGAAGGATACTGTTCTTTTCTCTTTGAATTTCTGGTAATTGTTGGTTCGAGACTGTAATCGCTTTGAGATGCTTGTTTCGTCTACTTTTATAATTCCGAAACCATCAAAGGAGGCATTTACTCTCCGAGGACCGTGAATTGCTACCAGGTTCACCAGGAGGATACGACGATACTTCTATATCAGGCTAGCCCCACAAGTCATTGTATAAGCCACTTCGTATTCAACAAGCCAATACATTTCTGAATGGAAGTAGAATGCGTGTCGCATTCCAAAAAAGGACAGCTATCGGAGAACACTTCAGCCTTAGCTTTATGCTCAACTTTCCTGGAACCATTGTTTCTTCACAGGTGCTCTCCACATTTCAACATACCGGGTTGTTTTTAGCAGGGTTAGTTTGACGTTCTTAAATACAGTCTTGTTCGCTGCGTATGCTGGGTGTGACAGAAGGGGTGTGGATTCCGAGCAGCACCAACCCGTTCTACACCAGTTGTGGGAGCTGGAAGGCGAACAATTGGTGGAGAACTAGCTGGCGCTGCGCCAAAAAGCGGCCGCCCTGACACGCCCCAGCGTCGCACCGAACAAGGCTGTATCACATACGTCTGCCTTAAACTGCCTGTCACTTGCGATTCCGACGGGTCAAGAGAGTATGTACCACTACAAATCGTGCTTCCGAGGCCGTTCTGCTTTCCCTGAGCTGTTTTCCACCCCAACAGAATCGTTTTTTCTACTGCTGGTCATGCGTTTTCTGTGTGTTATTTTCTAAGACAATTTTGATATGGACTTCGTAAGTCGATCATCCGTTTGAATCAAACTGTTTCAGAACCAGTGCCGAACGTTGTCACGAGCGCACCTCTTCAACCCAGCTCGAGCAGCCGATCCACCTGCAATTGGAGATGTGCAGTTGTGTAGCTGTTACGGTGATCGATGTAATGGCAATAATCGAGGAGCCCAATTGGCTACCGGTCTCGCTACTTTTTTGATCCTAATGTTGGTGTGGATTCAATAGCAAAGGGTTTTTTATGTCTAAGTCAACCAATGTTGACCAATACTATTTGTGGTGCTCAAAAATCTTCCGCAGTGATGGACTTGATTGTGTGACTACCCTTGAAGGCCATCTGCCCGCCGAGTTTTTGCCGTAAAGCTGTTGAGGGTTTAGTCATCGTTCCTCATTCCTCTGGAAGGAAGGTGTCGTCAGTCATGACGAGGTGGGCTCAGCTGGTTTGAACTTTCCTCCAGGCGTCCCTTGATCATGGGCTACCCTGATAGTCTCGGGTTTTGGTGCAAGGTACTCGCATGAAACTCTCACTGGAATCCCTTAGATCGTCAGAAGTTCGCCTATCCTGCTGAGCAACTTAGCAACGGTTCGGGATTCTGCAGCGAACTCTAAACCGACAGATGTGTCCGTTGTGGATTTGTTTTCACTGCAGAGTCGCGTCTGCTAGGTCCACATAATAGAGCTCGCGAGTAGGTGACAAACCTTGAGGGAATTGAGGTTTCCTAGGCACAGCGGATTGCTTAGTAGATTACCATTTTCCATAGCATTGGTTGCGCAGATACATAGGGAACCAGGTAGTGCCGCTTTGTCACATAAGGGCGCTGGGGATTCGCGACGTCATAATTACGATGAACTTGGTAAGGGAGATATTCTCATTTTGCCATCGGACGCTGTGCCTTCGAAAGTTCACTGATTAGTCCCGAACCGTTGCTACGTTGCTCAGCAGGATAGGCGAGATTCTGACGGTCTAAGGGATTCCAGTGAGTGTTTCAAGCGCGTGATTACGGCGCGTCTGGAACACCAATCGCCTGGAGGAGGCTTCAACGAACACGGATGGAATGATCCTCAGTCGGGTTTGTGATGTCAAACGTGGAGCCTTCTCTCGCAAAATGGCAATACAGTCTATTGTTCCTAGGGACATCAAGGGTTTGAACTTGTGTTTCCGATGGCCCTACGTCTACGAGTGTACTTCTAAAGTATATATTCGTGTTCTATGCCTAAAAACCCCAATAATATTTGACTTTTCTGAAGAACTCCTTTTTACGAACACCAGTACTTACCTGAATTTGTACCTCAATTTCAAATGGGTCCTTGTCTTGCCGATCTAAGAATCAATTGAGCGAAATGCTGTTTTCCTTCAGTCGATTCATCGCCATCGTTTTCATTTATCTCCCCTGGACTGTCGTCTGAATTGCTCACTGTGTTATGTTTGAAATGTTTTTAGTCTTTCCTAGTCCGATGAGATCTCTTGCCTACTGTAATTCTCATCGCAGAGTTTATATTTACCGGAATCATACTTACTGCTTTACGGGTCAATGTATACGTTTTGAAGGGTTCAGGTCGCCGTCACTGATCACCATTCTGACAATGAAATGGTGATTTACAATGAAACGTAATTTATAAGAAAGAGTGGTCACTGAGGGTAACTGTGCACCCATTCATTGTGCATTTCTATTCGAATAAATATTGAATTTGGTTTGTATGTCAATTCTGTTAAGTTTTTTTGATCGAACACATGCTCGCACCGATGGGATGAGCAGCAAGTGAATCTTAAAGGCACGGTCCGCGATCAGGTATAGAAGTTGAAAATATGGCGTCGGGAGGGTAGTGTGGTCCGCGACGAACAACCTTGTACCGGTTTCGCGGCAAAAAATTGTAAGGGAGGGGCGCTATAGCGCAATATAGGTTCAGTGACGCCTCCTTTTCCAGTGACTCCGCCTCCAGACTCCGCCTTCAAGGCCCGCCTTTCAGTGAAAACGAAGCTGCCGTACGAAAAAGCATGAAAATCGTCACTTGTAGAGTTCTTATCGGGGAATCAGCTGTGCGGATGAGGGCGTAGTGTTGAAGATGGAGTTCATTGGGCACGTACAAACTGGGATCGAAATGGGGTTCTATCTAGGGCAGGTGGCATGTTTTTCTGCTTTCTTCTTCACTATCGAATTACTCAGCACATTGTCGTCTATATGCAAACCCCTAATCCACTATCTGTGATGGCGAATGATCGCGGACTTTGCCTTTAAGACAGCGTTAAATGTGGCAATGACGCGCCACGAAGCTCTACAACACGAATCGACACGCTACTTCTTGCTACCATTGTAATGGTGCCCAATACTTTAAGCTTGGCAGCATAGATAAACGCCAGCGCTATTAGTGTTTTGGAAGGGCATAAGGGAGTAAGAGAGTACCTGACAGTGCGACGTGTGATAAGGAAGAAGCTCGATATTTTCTTTCATAAAGTCTACTGATTTTAACGGGCTTTCATCCATATCCGCTGGCTAA